ATATAAAAAATTTTCAAAAAAAATTTTCTTATCTTAAAATTGCCATGTTATCTGCATTGAAGTCTCTTTTCCCCAATGTTTAAAAATTCATATCTTCCAGAAAAATGAAGATATCGACTTCTTTCTGGGCTCATCTTAAAGATGAATTATATATGGCTATTTTTTAAAAAATCGTGATTTTATTTAAAAATGGCCGATTAAAACGTCATTTTTTTGAAAATTTATTTTTTATCAAAAATTGTTAAAATTTGTTTAATTAAAACATAAATTAGTATAAATGTTATTGGAAGATGTATGGGATCTAATACGCAGCGCGCGCCTGTTATGTACTACTAATATTAAAATACATATCGCGCATACACGCAAATAAGCGGTGAGCAAAGTTATACGTTTTTATAATCAGGCATTTTATAGTACACGTAAGTTGTAAATCAATGTGCCAGTTTTAACGGAAATCGAAATTTGATTCATCGAGATTAATCTGCATATCAGCTGTTTAGCAAAGTATCATACATTTGTATTCACATTGGATCTGATTTGATTTGGTTGGTTGGTATCACAAAGTTTCGTAAAGTGACAAGCTCAAAATTGGAAATGGTTTGTGGATCGATAGAACCGAAATTCGTGGTAATAGTTAAACGATACATTTCCAAACTTTCAAACTTATAGCGCTCCATGTTGATTGGATTAATTTCCGGAGCAAATTTAATCTAGGTTTCGCAACTAATTACAAATCTCACTCTCTAGGATATACATATGGATTGCTTGGCAACTTAATTTTGTGGGTATATATAACTACAAATGTAGGTATACATGGTTATTACGTAATAGCAAGTAGATAAAATTTTTGCTCTAAAAAGTGTCTTTAAAAATACGTAAATACATGATTTATTGTTGTTCATAATAATTACCATATACCTATAATATATGTATAATATATGTATACTTTTTATGTCCAAAAATTAGATTCTATCCAAAATTTGATTTTTTAAAAAAGTATTTTTAAATTTAATAAAATTTTATATTCCATGTTATAAACTTTGATTGAATTTAAAATATACTTGTTTTATATCATATAGGCAAAAACAGAAATGTATAATATCAAAATATTTTATTATAAGCAGAAATTTAAACTATTAACTAATTAATCAGATTTGTGCTAATTTGCTACATAAATTAATTATTAATTTCAAAGTGGACAAATTGGATAACAACCTTTAAGGATTTTTATGAATTAATTTTATATTAAAATTTGTTATTCTATTACATACTGCAGCATAGAATTAAGTTTCTATAAAATATTTAATACTAACATAAATATATTTAATATTAAGATAAATTTTTATAATAAAATAAATATCGCACATACATGCAAATAAACGTGAGCAAAGTTATACCGTACGTGCATGTTTATATCAGACATTTTATATAGTATATTAATTGTAAATCAATGTTGTTCTTCAAAATTGTCGAGATATTCATATCATTGCAACAATCATCTAATATTTCAGGTTCGCTCTATACTATTCATTTCCATTTGCTCATTCTCAATACCAAAGTTCTTTTGTATTTTGGCCAGACTGTAACCATGAGTATCTTTTAGAAGTAAGGCGCAAAGAATTCCAGCTACCCAGCAAAAGCTAGCAAAGAGCCACATGGTCTTTGAGATACCGAGGATGCCTAACATCTCTCCAAATGTCATCGTTGCTATCAAAGATAGCATCCAATTGAAACCAGCTGTACATGCAACAGCAGTCTCTCTGATTTGCATAGGAAAGACGTCGCCTAACAGCGCCCACGAAATCGGCCCGACGCCGGCATTAAAAGTGGCAAAAAAAAGGATTGTCCAGGTCGGCGGCATCCAAAAATAAATATCGTCATATTCTGGGTCTTGATTTCTCAATTCATAAAACCATCCTGCAAATAAAAATTCGAAGAGGTTTTTTGCTTTATATATTACAGACTCTCATTGTCAAATAGTATAGTATAGTATAGTATAGTATAGTATAAAAATTTTGTGTTACTAATAAGTTTAACAATTGTATTATTTTTAATGATGAAAAAATAATTTCTTACAATTTGTCAAAATTTTTTTTGACACTCGTTATTTTTTGAACTGTTATATTCATAATATTGTGCTTTAAGTCTAAGAGAGATATACATATTATTTGCTCTGATAAGAAGCACCATGATATAGAAAAGAAAAGTGATAAAAAGTCATTTACCTAACAGTATCAAGAACAATCCCATAAATATCGAGGATACAATTAGCAGTATTCGACGTCCAACTATGTCTATCAGACTTATCGCTAGGAAACAAGATAATATTTGTACTCCACCAATAAGAACGGTTTGTTCGCTTCCAGTTAGATCACCCGATCCGCCAACGTTGAAAAGTGTCAATGCGTAGAAAATCATAATATTAACACCACTTAATTGTTGAGTTAGAAATACGAAGATGCATGTAAAGAAGGAACTTGCGACGTATCGATTTTTTAGGACATTTCTTGTAATCTGTTACAACAAAAAATAATAATAACTTTGAAATTTTTAAGTAATTTTTACAATAAGACATTTTATTTTTTACTTATTTGTCTTTTATTTTAAAGAGTTTATTTTGATTTATATATTTATATATTTAATTTTAATACTTGTATAGTTTGATCTGGAATACTAAATTTTAATTTAGGTAGTTTTGTTTATTAAATATATATATTAATTGTAATTAATCAAGAATAAAGAAAACCTTACAAAAATCCATATAAAAGCACATTTAATTAAGTAATAGTAAATTTTTTCAAATTTATTTTGTAGCAGTCACAATATATATTTGCAGAGCTTCCATGGATTTGCAAATACTATTAGTAATAAAATTCCAAATATAAATAATATTACTTCTGTATTTACCAAAAATATAAAGATTTAATTAAAGATTGCGTTGAAACCTACGTACAGTTTGGAGAATTCAAATAATTTGTGTATGTAAATGCTTTCAAGACGATTAATTTGGAATAATATTTTTGCTTAAGCGTCAAACAATTTCTGCTATATATAATACTTTGTCTCTTACGTGTCTTTTATATACATCTATGTATTGTTTTAATAAACTATTACATAATAATGAAGAAAGACAAAGAGAGAGAGAGAGAGAGAGAGAGAGAGAGAGAGAGAGAGAACTTTATAACAAGTCTATTGTTTTATAACTAATTCATTGTTTTACATGATAGTTTTTATTAGTTTTTAACATATAGCTTTGTAGACAATATTGTAGTAACTTTTAATTTTTATATATTTTGTTTTTTTCCAGCTAATATCTACAATGAAAAAATATGGCGTTTTACCTTTCCAGAATGTTTTACGAGGTATTTCAATTCTTCAATTTCAACATCATCTTCATAGGTTTGACCACGGTACCATTTTAGAGAATCCTTCGCTTTCATTTCATTATTTTTCATGAGATAATAGAAAGGGCTTTCAGGCAATAGATTTACCAGAGCAATCACAAGGCATGTCACGGCACAAATAATGTTATACCTAATTAATTACCCTATATATTATTAATAGGTACGTAAACTTGTCTGAAATTTAGTTTTAACTCGATCAAATTGTATACGTATATTTTATATGTACACATATATATGTCTCTTTACATTCTCGCATTGCGTTGGGGGGAGGGAAGAATCTTAATGCGATATGCTTATAAGTATTGATATTACCTAGACAAAAGTTTATTATTGATCAATAATATTTAAATAATTCAAATCGCAGAGCATTAATGCATTATTAATAAAAGTTCTCTTGAATTGACATGAAATATAATTGAAAAGCTTGTTGCAACAATGGGCTGATTTACAAAAAAGCCGAATACACAATATTGGCAGAAATAGATGTATTCTCCCATTTTAGGGTTTATTTTCTCCGTTTTTATAAATGAGTTAGCCCATTGTTGCAGCAAGCCCTTCGATTGTAATTAATGATTAAGTAACACACTAGAGATATAAATAAAAGAGACGTTAAAATAATAATCTTCTGAAGTGTGCAATTATTATAATTAAGTTCCTAAATTTCGTCAGAGATATCATACTTAATGTTACAAATACTTACCTCCATATAGTATCATGTTCATTTATTACGTGGGCGATTACAAAGGCATACATAATTCCGCAGTTGATTAAAAGATGAAAGTACATAAGAAGTCGTTCTCGGGAATTTTGGTCTGCAATTTCTGCGATGTAAATCGGCGTCAGAAAGGAGAATGCTCCACCGCTCATGCCACATATGAATCGACCAATTATAAGAAGCGAAATCTGCAAATGTTTAGTTATTATGTCATTTTTATTACGTTATCGTTAGTTTATTACATTATCAGTTAACATATCAATATTTTCGAATTCTCTTTTAAAATCAAATAAAATGTTAAGTCATTAAGAATATTAAAATTCAATGATACTTGAGCTAATTTGACTATTTTCTGTCAAAATGGAATTTAATAATGTGGCGAAATAACTGCAGCTTGAATACTGTGCATTGGAATAATTACTTTAGCGATAATCAATTTATTCTTACTTAAATTTTGTTCAATCTGTTACATACATAGGCTGCGTTCCCGATATTCACTGCAAGTACTGAAAATCTATAATATACGTTACGTGCACTATAGATTTTCAGCACTGGCAGTTAATAACGGAACGCAGCCATAATCTATCACGTAAACAACGAAATATATAACGAAATTTAACATTACGGCATACTTTATGGCCGGCGCAGCAAACGAACGTCCATCCGACGATGAATCCTGGCATAGTCAAGGACATAGCTGTAATACGACTGAAATACTTGATAAAAAAAGGCGTAAACGTCACGCCAACACAAGCACCGGCATTCAAGATACTGCCGATAAGGCCGATTTCGGTACCACTAGCGTTTAAGATGTTTCGAAGAATTTCCCCAGCGTTAGAATTCCATCCGAGTGTGACACCGAGAGCAAAACCGCCAAGTGAGGCTACATTTTCAAATAAAAAAAAAGTACTATTGCATATACTTGAAAAAGTTAATATTGGCTCTGAAATTTATAAATCCATCTAAATATATTCAAATATATTTGGATGAGTATATTTATGTCTCATCATTATTTTTTTCTTAATATTATATATTTTCTTGTAACAATGCAATGCTCATTCGAATTATACATATACATATGTATATATTCCTTCACGTGCGCACAAGCGCAACAATTTGTAACATCAGGACATATCTGCATGTGTATAATATCTACGTATAAATGATTAGACTTGAAACTTTAAAGGAAATCATACATACTCTCTATATATATATATATATATAATCGTAATATAATTAATATAATTAAAAAGGATATTTTTAGTATTTTAAGTTAGTGCAAATTAACTTAGACCGTCTGCATAACCTTTCCACTTTATAAGTAAAAGTAATGAATACTGAAAGCTTTTGTGTATACCTCTCTTGATTACTCTTGAATATCCTACACAAGAGTATCCTACGTAAGAGACTGTTGTTAAAGCTTATAATATGATTTCATAGTCAAACGTTTGGAAGAAATAATAAACTTTAAAGATATAATAAATGAGGAAAAATAATGAATTTTGAGACACCGCGCCGTATGGAGACACCATACACGTATGTATAATAAATATATTGTAAATGCATATATTATATATATAAATTTTTATTTTTTTAAATAATTTTAATAATTTTTATTTTAATAATTATTCTAAACGCAACATTTATATTACAATTAGAATAATAGCAAACAAGCATTTTTCGAACTTACTTATAAAAGCAGCAACGTGTTGATTTAATCGGTAAATTTTAACGTCGTTGACTTCGGAAGTTAATGTCGATGTCATTTCCATAATGATAAGTGACGTTGTCTAAGCGCTATCACTTACATTCTCTAACTGTCATCCACCAATAACGATTCAAATCGATTCGAGAGAATTCAGCTGCATGACTGACCGCATAGATGACTCTTTACTCGATATGAACGTATCAACTTCATGTTCAATATGCACGATCGGATGTTTTATCAAACTGTATTGTTTAGTGAACGCCATCATTCTTGATTTATTCCAGATTCTGTTGCGCTCAGTTTGCATGATGTAATCTCTTTAGTACAATTTTTTCTAATTTTTTAAAATGATAACACACACACACACACACACACACACACACAAATTAGATAATTCATTATTAGATAAGCATGCATAAATTAAATAAATTTGTATACATTATAATAATTTTTATTTCACAAAATAGTTGTACCACAGGATAATCAAAAATAAGGTGTTTGAAAAAATTAAATAATCCATAAAATTAACATGTTCAATACAGCTTCTTAAAAAATGTTAAAGTTCTCTATTTTTTATTTGTCTTGTGTATAATGACATAAATCTCATCGGTCGATATGCAATAATAATTAATAATTGTATAAATATATAACGTCTTGTAAATATTATGCATGAAAAAGAACGGATTGATATAATTTTTATGTGCACATGTAAAGCAATGTATCTATGCATGAAGTATTCTGTTATTTTATACTAGATTTTGTTACTTTTTTTGTCGCTCTAATAAGATAGCGTTAAAACATTTACAAAAAATAATATTCTTATGTCTATTAAGTGAAGTGGCTGGCACAGTTACTTCAGCACAGTCCAATGCGATACATTTATTTTCGACAACAGTTCTATAGAAGTTAACACAAGTTAAAACAATGTAAAGAATGAGAAGATGTACTGTTTCAGTATTCATACTCTGGATTTTAACAGAAGTGCAATTGAGTATGAATAAACACGTAAGGCAAATGATGAGATATATGTGCATGTTATGTGCTGGTTATGCACGAAGTGTAGTTGATCGTGAGTGGACGTTACCTATTCATTGTTTGCATATCAACGACGTTTCTCATTTCTTATCGACCAGAATGTCGATATTGCGACGATTGGCTATCAAATGTCGATGAAGCAACTGTTACGTGAATGTTTAAAAAGTTGAAAAACTGCCAGTATACATATTATGCCAAAACAATTTGATCTAGTCATTTCAATATATGTAATATCGATTAAAAACTCATATACTCTCTTGTTAAATTTTTCCCTTTAGAGAAAAATTGACATTATATATATTTCTTTACGGTATGACTTTAAATTTATACATAAATATAATTATTTTTTTATATTCCTTTTAAAAATTATACTATATTAAGAATTTTTTTCTACAAGTCTGCACAAATCATAAAAAAGTGTAAGAAAAGAGAATTATTAATATTTTAGAAATGATTGGAGTAATTTGAATTTTTATATCAAATACAGCAGCATGACAAACATGTACACTGCATCCAAAATCCAAAATAATTTGTACGTTCGCTACGGCTACATCAATTATTTATTGTGGAAGATTTTGTCTTCAATCTTTAACTTGTATGTACACATTTATTACCTTACTACGTTTATTAAAATTTAAAGTTCACTGACATTAAATCGAAAAATTATAGCAATAACTGTAATTCAAAAGATTGGATAAACTGAAATATATTCACTTTCTTTACATTCTCTGTTCGAATAAAACAACATGTCAATGTCGATTATCATAAAGAAATATAACGTAATTTAGGTTAATTACAATTGCATATGGTATAATGTGATTATATATTTATTACAAAATAAAGAATAATTGAAAAGTTAAAAGTTGGTATGTTGGAAAATATATAACAATTTACAATTAATATATTTTAATATTAACAGTTTCCGATGTATGCGACATCTTATTCCGTGCATATCTTATTGTTAGATATTATATATAAGAAATATATCTATAGTGTACAAAAAAAAACACAAGTGCTATCAGGCGGAATCAAGCAAATGACAAGAGAGTTTCTAAATAAATGAATTACTCCAAAATATTTTAAAAATAATCTCTCAAAAAAAAGGAAACAAAATTTCAAAGTTTATGTAAATATTTATGAGACAAAAAGACAGTAGACTGATTTTCTGTCCATACTATAATAATTAAAATGGCTTGGCTAACAAGATTGTTAATAAAGAAAAAATAATAAGAGAGATTTGTGCGTATATAGTTCTGATAATCGGTTATTTACTGGTGACACGCAAGACTAAAACATTTTTGCCGGTAGTTGATTCCGTGGCTAGGTGTCATATATGTAATATTAACACGTGCACAATTGCCGCAATCACGTACGAGGAGAAATCCTATTTTGCATGCTACGTCGTTAAGTGAAATAGATCGTAATTTTGACTTCCATCCGATATCTTAATTTGTTGGCAATACACAGGTCCTGGAAAAAGTTCTTTTTTCTATTCTTATCTTTATTCTTCATGCCGGATCGTATTATCTACCTATATATTCTCACAATCAGTAGATGCACACTGCTTCGTATATGCGCAAGATATCGATTGAAATTGGTCGTTGTCCTCGAATAGCTCTAGTAGCTTTAGTCAAACCACGATTAGCTATTACGGATTACGTGCTAATTATGAACGTAATTAATCATGTACTCTCGTCCGTGATATCTTGTTGAAAGTGAAAGCATGTCAACATGCTATTCGTATCTACAACGATATATAAAATCCTGAATTAACGTCATTATTATAATATAAAATGTTAAATAAAAACGTTCAGAATTTAAATAATGTAATCCTTAATTTTTATACGCGCGTGGAAATGCACAATGTGCACATCTCCAAGCATTCCACCAGTTAAATATACTTTATCATGTGTACTATTGCGCGTTGAAAGTAAAGTTTTAACTTTTGTCTGCACGCGTTATGTGACATTAGACAGACAGCTTGTCCAATCTGAAAGTTAAATAAAGAAAATATTGCAAGTTAATATAATATTAATCATTGTTACGTAGACAAAGAATGGCTAAACGATTTAATTATAAACTCGTTAGTTTTCACAAATCTTCATTACACTTAAATATTATTTATGTGCTTGTATTAGATGAAACTGTGAGCTGTCACATTGGTACAACTTGCACATAAAACACAACGTGCGCTAACGCACGCGTTATTAGATTATAATGCATGCAGAAACTAGTGATAAAATACTTTAATATTTAAAGCAAGAGTAAAGAATGAATGAGTTCAACACACATAGATTCAAATGTCCGTACACGCTCCAAATCTACATATAATTCTCATATAATTATATATATTCTCAAAAGCTCTCGGCTTTATAAATAGAAACATCGACATGTCATTTGAATTATTATACCAAATGTATTATAGAAAAGTAAATTCTGTCAATCGAGTTCTATTATCGTATTAAAGTTAAAATATTAATACTAGAGAAGAAAGATGCGGTAGAGAGAGTGTGCGTTTAAATAATGTTATGAATATAACAAGTTACACACACATACACTTTTATATTTTGTCAAGATATCGATATCTTATCTTCATGCAAATACATTTTTTGCAAAATGCGAGGTATTCTTCCCGCGGCGCGATGGTAAAAAGTGGACAACTAAACCTCAAAAATTAAATTTTTTCATATTGTACATCGTATAAATTTGTTTTGAAATGGTGTATTAACAATACTAATATATTACATTCAAGATTCCAATCACATTTGCAAAAATTTATATTTATTAAATGTAAAAAGTTTGAATCTAACTTTGTAAAACGCTGGGGATTAGGAAAATGTCATTATTGACAAGGTTTGATTTTCAATCTTATAAACACGGAACAATTGTGAATTCATATTGCAGTTAGTATAATAATATGCAGTATATATCTACCTATAGTAAATTCTGGCTTTATTAGGCATCTTGCCGATGTGTTATATAAAATAAAATATGTGTTATATAAAATAAATGATGTGTTATATAAAATAAATGTGTGTGTGTGTGTGTGTGTGTGTGTGTGTGTGTCATCATATTAATAAATATTGATAAATTACAAGTTGCCTCGACTCTCTCTTGTAAATAATAAATTTTCTTATAGATGTAAGTCCATCCATTTGTGGCTGATTAATCTCTCTGACATTAACGCACACATTTCTATTTTTCTTCATCTCAAAAAACATTTAGTAGAGAAAGAAATCAATATAATTTTCATGGTTTCGAGTGGTCATTTACCGACTTAGAGAAATATAACATTTATTCCTTTAAACTTTCTTTAATATCAATATACGTTATCGCGTACGTATAATCCATGACGTTTCTTGCGACTAATAAGGAACATTCTACGATCAATGGCGACGTTAAAATCGCGCATCACACACGCACAATTTCTACGCTACATTTTAGTCTTTATAGAAAAAATTTTATTTGATTAATTTGACATATTATTTATGCGTATGCGGTGCAGATGTGTGTCGAAATGTTGGCGTTTACGCGCTTGAATCAGCCGTATAACGGCTTGATTGTGAATACGATGTAGAAGAAGGACAGCTGTCTTTAAAGTCATTACTCCGTGAAAAACATGAATTCCTCTCAAGATTGCAAGCACGAGTCTTTGAAAATTTCGCTGGGGTGGCATTGGTCGTGTGGCTCAAGCTCTCCCTCGACGCTATACACCTACACCCCTCTGTCCTCGTCCCTTTGCCCGGCGTTTATCTCCCTCTTTCTCCCACTCATGAGCCCGAGGTACGCTCGCTCATTCAAGCTCGACCCCAGTCGACTCGGCAACGATTCAGTCGCGGTCGACCCGCCACGCTGCGAGCTTTGCTGAGTACGCGTGTGCTCCGAGGTGCCTCGTTGTTTCTCTCCTTCGTTTCTCGTCTCTGCGCCTCTTCCTTTCCTCTCTTTTTCCTTCCATATCTCTATTCGACCTCTCTATTCCATCTTCCTCTTCCTCTTCCTTTTCATCGCATAATGTTTTCTCTCCTTCATGTTCTTTCCATCTCTCTTTTCTTCTCTGGGTTTCGCTCTCATTTCGATCGAGCCATCGTTCTTTAAGAAAGATAATACAGTTCTCTTAGAATAAAGCGAGACAAGATTTCTGCTCAATTCGCCGGCTGCGAGAAAAAGCGAACTTGCAAACCAGGACATTTGACACACATCTCCATGATAAAGGGGTGAGAGAGAGAAAAAGAGAAAGAGCGGTGAGGGCGAAAGAGAGAGAGAGAGAGAGAGATAATCGCAAAATCGACTTGGAGGTTCGAAGCTCCAGGTTTGGAGCTTGCGCCGATTCGTCAGGAGCTTGCGGAGACTCGCGTGCGACAGCGCAGCGGATCTTGACAATTTTCTCTCACATTGCAAATACGCGCGACTCGTCCCTGGAATCACGACGACTCGACATTCACGACGTGAGATCGGAATGAATCGCTCTTACGCACGAGTACGACGAGTGTCCGCGAATAACCGCGCGAATGTGCCGCAGACTTATTTGAAGAGGAATCATGACCGTAGTAAAAGAACCTAGGCTTAGAATGTGTACGATCGATGATTACACACACCATGTCGCTTAGCTTGAACGTGGAAACAAGCTCTTTCGATTTACATTTATATCTTCAATCCAAGACAACTACGGAAAGAAAATCTACGGGTGCGTGTAAAATGAATGTTTCTCATCGAGGAATATATCGCGGTTCTCCACGAGCGAGGTGAAGTGAGAAAAGGAACGCGAGGATCGAGACAGCCTCAAAGATCGACGCATCCGGAGATGTTCCTCGAGGGAGTCGAGGGCTGCGCGGTCCAGGGCTGGACAACTCACTCGCGTAAAAGGATGTATGTGCTGTCGATATGTGACTCGGTGAGCAACGCGCCGCGATAATGGAGTGATTCAGTAGTCGTGATAACGCCTACGGTGCACGTGCGCGAATGCCGACAAGTACGAGGGAGGAGTACGTGTGAGAAAACGTGTTATGTTAGATGTTTGGCGCTTGACAGAATCAATTTTACTGGAAATTGCGAGGGAGATCCGTGCAAGTGAAGGTCCGAGAACACGTGAGTTTTCTACGATATTATATGTATTTCACAATACTATTTTGTGATTACAACGAAGCTTAATATTTCTAGCTATGCACGTTCTTTTCATCATGTAACTAACAATAAGTCGAACAAGTCGAAAATATTTAAAAAATCATTCCGTTTACACATCAAAATTATATTTGACTATTTCTCTCGATTCTGACATATAAAATGTAAATGATAAATTTATGCTTGTAATATTGTTGTTATATATGTTTATCAAAGGACGAAAAAACCAGCCAAAAATTTGAGCAACAAAAGGGTGTTGAAAATATTAATTTATTACAATGTCGTATCAAATACATGTATTTTTCAACTCAATTTTCTTTGTAATTCCTTGCGGTTGAGAAAGACCAAGTAAGGTCGAAACGTACCGCTGCGCTTACGACATTCTAATAAATTATTATTTTCAACACCCTTTTGTTGCTCGAATTTTTGGCCGCTTCTTCCATCCTTTATTAATTAACTTCGGGCGGAATTCAAATATAATTTATATATTTATGTTTTATGATTGTTTTTTCTCATTATAAATTGTAATAAAATATTTGAAACAAAATAAACGGCATGTTTTTTGCACAAATCGATCATCACGATAGCAAAGCGCAAATAGAGTTAAATAATACAAATCGTATAGTTTGATAACTTGACATTATTCTGAAAAAAGTAAACGTAAACAGGTTTTTTTCAGTACTAATACAAACTTGAAGAGACTTTAGAAATTGATTGAAAAAAGGGCCATTAATATAATACAATATATCATAAACTTAAAAATGATATATTCTTATATTAGAATTGTTGACGTTCACAAATACGTTCACGTCACATTTCATGTAAGATGAAATTCCATGTTTGCGTGAAATATTGAATTTAAAAATGTTTGAAGAAAAAAAACTGCCATAAGATGTTTGATACATATCTCTTATCATATTGTTTTTTAACGTTAATTTTACAACTCTGCAAAGCTAATTGCAAGTATAAGTTTGCAGAAAAATGAGCTCTCGATATCATGTTAATTAATCTAGATTTCGCGGAAATATTTAAAAAGAATTTAAAAATGATATATGGCTAACATATATAATAATCTACGCTAATACCTCTATGCTAATAATAAATTTGTTCCAGAGATATATGTAAAAGTGACACGAGTTACAAGACAGAATATTAAACAAATTTTTATATATAATACATTTGTATGTTGGTTCACTGTTGTGTCGACAAGATTTTGTTTACTAGCTTAGCGAGGTCGCACATACACGTATGCGAAGCGCGAGAAAATTATATTTAGCAAATGAGATCCTATCGTGTCGCACGGTATTGCTTTACGTGACATGAGAAATAAGTATTTGCTACTATTTATCTGTGTGCACCTGCGTTATATTTTGTTTGCGATTTTCAATACAGAGTATTGTCAACATGTGTTATGAATTTTGTATTTATGTATAAGTAAAATTGACTTAAATTAATCAAGGTGCGTTCATTGAAATAAGAAATATGACAAAAGCAGACGCGATACTAGAATTTTTGACAAATAAAAAATATAATTTTTATAATGTCAGAAATTTGTATAAGATTCTTTCCAGTCTCTCTCTCTCTCTCTCTTATCACACACACACACACACACACACACACACACATTAAAATATGGATCATATATATTTACAAGTATACAGTTTCGAAACAGCAGGCACCTGTCGCGTATCAATTACAAGCGATATTATATGTTCTATCCACATTTGTGCTCCACGAAACTCTTGGTCAAAATAATACTTTGCGCTTTTTCGAATTCCATCAAATATTTATTACGCATATCATTAGACAGTTTTAATAAACTCGATTAATGAATTGCTTTATATCTCAGAAAAATAATACCAAGCTCTAAAGATATGCTCTAATAATAAGCTACATAAAATAAATATTAGATACATATAATATCTAATATTTATTCTCCAATATTTGTTCTCCAAACAGTTATATATTTATGTAAATTATTTGTCTCATCATCTGTAATATTGCAAATGTGAATAAATCGATATTCAACTCTTATGCCATAACAAATGCAATGAATAATTTACATGCATATTTACATGTAATTCTTATTTTTATACGGTTTCTATAATACATATAAACGTGTTTATATTATGTGTGTCCGTAGGAAACAAAAATATAATAATAAATAATGGAATGAGAATACTTAGTGATTAGAAAGAGAAAGTTTGTAAAGCTGAGTCCAGAGCTAGCAAGAACGAACGAATCATGAATGAACATTGTGCAATGAACATGAGCGCACAAGATGAAATATAATATATTCATTGTACATTTAAACTTGTTTGTACTTTTACAGCGTCGTCTATCTAGTTCACTCGTACCATTTATTTGCGTTTATACACAATCGTGTGTTTCATCTGACAACTTATCTTTAACTTATTCATTTCTCAAAAGAGCTTTTGCTGTAGAACAAAAGATCGATATCCGATCTGTGTACGTGTTTTTTGACACACACACATAAATTTACGAGTTCCCCCTACTACCTACATTGAAGCTTACGGGGAATTTAATTATCAACAAATGTAATGGGGTACAAAGCAGAATTGCGCTTAAGAGGAATGCTTTAGTACTAAGCGCAGTTATTAGTCACAGCAAGATATAGTATACAACGAGACGCAAATAAATTTGACTTCTTTTACCGTTCGTATTAAACTAATTATACATGCAACGTTGTATAATAGTATATTGTATATATAATAGTGTATTTTATATATAATTTTTTTAGTGTATATACTAAATTTACTTCAATATTTGTAATATACATATTAAATTTTCAATTATATTATATAATAAAATTATATATATATAATGAAAATTTATATATTTATTTATATATAATTATTTATATATAATATATATAATAAAATATTTAAATATAATTTATATATAGTTTATATACTATAATGAAAATTTATTCCTTTTTACAGTTAAACCATTAAAATTGATTCCAATTATTTTTCTTACTTATTAATATAATATTTTTTTGTGTATTTCGAATTTAAATAAATATATTAAAATGAAGCATGTTTATCAATCCGAAAAAATCATTTCGTTTATATATTTAAATTTTATTGATATATTTGATTATTTATCTCGATTTCTGACATATATTTTTACATGATCTAAAAACTTAAAAATATTACAAGCAATGACATTAGATTTAATTACACATATAATTAAATCATCGTGCTTATTTAAATTATGGCTTCTCTCATTTTTGCGCGAGGGTCGATAGACGTTATTGCAATCAGTCTTATCGACTCTATACCAGACGATAACAAAAAGCAGTAATCCATTGTTCATGAAATATCTGTAGCAAAAGTCGTTCGTTATTAGTTTTCCGCTCCGTGAGATGTAATTGCACTTCATCAATATATATGTATGTATATATCACGACTTACTATATCCAAATTGAAAAAAAATAAATTTATTTTTTCCATAATAAAATTTTCCATAATATTTCAGACATTAAAAAGTTACTTTACAAAAGTAAAATTCATACGAAAGTGTTAATATATACTAGATACAGTAAAATAAGGAGAGATATGACTGTTAGATTAGGATTGAGAATAGATATATAGAATAGATAGATTGGATAATAGAAAGCAATTACTTCTTTATGCTAATTGTTACATATCTTGAAAAGAAGTAACCAATTCTAAAATTCTCAATTTACTGAAATAATTGTATAATAAATATTTTTGAAAAAAATATTACAAAAACATAATGTTCTTTCGCTTGGTGTTGCGTATATTGACTATTGAAAGGCATTATACATGCAAATTGTACAAGAAACATAATTGTAATTAAGTATTATAATAAAAAAAATTATTTAGAACATAAAAATAATCAAAAAAATCATTCGAAATAAATCGCTTTCCAGGAATATACCGATAAGAATATTTTTGAAATAGCCATGTTTCAGCTGTCGTAGATATCGTAATTCGTTTTGCGTGACGAGATAGAAAATTTATTCGTACATCAACTTTTCTATTCCGTTTTCTTTTAGCGGCACTTTTCCTCGTTAATTTTCCAAGTTGGACTCCAAAGGAAAGAATAGCCTCTTGTGGCTCGTCATTTTCTACGGCATAAAATCCAATTCCATCCGATTCTACGAGACTTTTAATGGTGTTATTACGCCACCGTGCTGCAAATCCGTCGGAGATTTTGGACGGCAAGCTTTGGCAAAGGTTGGAAAAGTATATGGGGTGTTTCTAAATGATATGATATATACGGCATAGAGCAATTTAGCAAATTTTAAAAGAGCTGTTTACGTATGCAATATCAAAAGCAAATGTAATCGATGCGTTACTTTATTTAATATCGAAAATACAAATATGAACACAATGATTAAATTCGTAAAACCCAACATTGGAGAGATCAGACAGCGTTCATTAATGACTTATATGCATGCAATTCTTGACTTGTATGATTTTATTGCGATTTCTGGTTGCAAGAATAATTTAAATCAGAAATTTATATAATGCCCGAATTATACTGCAGCGTAACAAAGGACAATAAAACGTGATTATTTTTGCATAAACGAGATATGATAATTTGTGAATCGCTTAAAGCCGCTTCTGCATCTACAAGTGATCACATAAGCTAGCTTCAACATGACTTTGCCTCTTGCATCTTGTATGCATACCGACTTAAGCAGGATTATGTATTACTATACGTAGCCTATACTTGAGCGAGCTACACAATGTTAAGAAAAACAATGTGTTTAGTTTTGAAAGTAATAATAAATGCTCGCATATCTATTGCAAATCAAATCGTACATTTTTAATTCCTTATTTTATTAATGCAGTTACGTTCGACTTTTTTTTATTAAAACAAGTTATTGATATAATTTCATTGTCAGCATAAGATTGAATGCATATAATAATTTCCAATGGGAGACGGGGGTGCATGTGTATTATTACGCATAA